GTGTGTAGACATGTGTATGCATGTGTGTGCATGTGTGTGTGTCCGTGTGTGCACGCACGTCTGCTCAGGTGCATATGTCTGTATGTCCACACGCCCACAGCGTGCGCGTCCATCCGGCTGGTGCAGTGTGACATCTCCTAACTAAGAAGTGGCTCTTCCCCATTGAGGCAGGTGCTAGCGGGAGTGTCACAGACGCGGTACGGATGCAGCTGCTCGTTGCTGCTGTTGTTTCAATGGTTTTACTGCGTGCTCATGGGCTACCAGGCTGGAATGAAGCTGACTGATGGCTTAACGGCCTGTAGCCGCTACGGAGTAATTGAATGGCTGTGTCTACGAGCAGACGGTGAGCGGATGACATGTGCTGCAAGCTGATGACAGAGGTACTGCCTGGGCGGGCTCATGCCTGGGAGGGGCCGGGCCAGCCCGTGAAGGAGTGTGCAGACGCGGGGGCCACACACGGGTAGGTCACACCCAGAAGTGGGCATGGAAGCTCAGAGTTGCCCATACATACATGTGCAAGGGGACGCCCAGCCCCACGTGCATGTGCTCAGCCCCTTACACACATGTGTGCAGTGTGCCTGTGTGCACACTTCACACACCTGTGGGAACCTCCATGCGCCAGCAGTTGCAGAGGGATGGAGCCTTTGGAAAGGGCCGAGGCCGGCTGGCCACCTGCCCCAGCACCATGCGGAGGGGCTGCACGGTCCCAGGGGACACCAGGTCAGGTGGGAGCTGCCCTCCTGGTATCTGCTCTGTGCTTTGCCGTGGTCACATTGCAGGAAGGGCCCTCCCCCTGTGATGCGGCCTGGCCCTGCCATCCCAAGCTCGTGTTCCTGCACCCCGGGTTCTGGGGCTGGACCCCTGAATGAAGGACCTGGAAGACCCACCTGTTCAGGGAGGAGGGCTAAGCAGGAAACCCCCTTGCCAAGCCTGTGGCCTGCACCAAGCATAAGGAGGGACCTTCAGGAATGTGATTTCCACCAAATCCTTCTGCCCTCAGGCCCTGGCCACCCGCTGAGCTGCTTTCCCCATGGAAATGTCCCCAATCTGGGACCCAGAAGAGGGAAGGGAAGTGCAATTGCTGGGAGGTGTTAGAAGGGGCGTGCAAGGACAGAATTGGGGCCTCCTGTCCTGGCGGAGTGATGGTGTCCCCAGGGATGAGCCGGCCGGCCCCCACATGCCCTGCTGGAGACCTCTGCCCCAACCCTTCTATTCCCGTGCCAGACCCGCTTCCAACATTCTGCATCTCTCACAGTCACGGTGACGGGGTGTGGAGGGGCTGAGTCCTCAGGACGTCGGCCAGGAGAGGAGTCGGCACAGAGACTGCCGGACAGGGTCCGAGGGCACCTCCAACGGCCCCTTTCTTCCTCCTAGAACACCAGTGGAGGGGAGACTGGTGACACAGGCAGGAAGGAGGCCACTGGGAGAGCCACTGCATCCTGGAGGCCAGACACACCCTATGCTCTCACGCTGGAGGTCGGAAGACCGGCCAGGCCTCGTGAGCCAGGCTCACAGCACCACAGGACTCCTTCCTTCTGGAGGCTCCAGGGCAGGATCCGTTTCCTCGTCTTTCCCGGCTTCTCCAGGCACCCACGGCCCCTCCCTCCACCAACCAGGCTGGCAACAGCCAGCCGAGTGTCCCCTCGACCCTCTGCCTCTGGCCCCCCGGTTACTGTCCACGGTCAGGGCCCCGCGGGGACCCTCACCCTCTGGCTCTGGCCCCCCGGTCACTGTCCACGGTCAGGGCCCCGCGGTGACCCTCGCCCTCTGGCTCTGGCCCCCAGGGGATGGCCCTGCTGCTGCAGCTCCAGGGTGTCCACCAGGTCTGCGGAGACCCAGCCCATACCTTTCTCCTTGGCACGCCCTGTGCTGGCCTCCTACCCCCCCTGCCGTCAAAGCTGATCCCGGCTTCCGGCTACCCGGCTCCTCCCGCAGGTCCCAGGGACACACAGGGGCCCCATCTCCTGACCGGGCTGCCCGGCCCTCCTGCCCAGACCACCGTGCCCGTGCCCTCTGTCACATGCCTGTGGGCAGCCCCACTGTTCAGCTGCTTTGTCGTCTGACCTCACTCCTCAGACACAGTGTGCTTTGCACCTGGACTCCCTCTTCCTGGGACCCTGGGCAGTCGCTCACCACATGGCCCCGTGTGCTGGGCACACTTCCTGGGATATCTGTCCAGAAGCCTGGAGGCAGGAACACGGACAGTGGGGACCTGAGTGGGGCCACCACCCTCTTCCTCCTACTCAGGGGGTGCAACCCCCTCAACCTCGTGGCACAGGGTCCCGGGCCATCGCCTGCCCTGTGGCTGTCCATCTACCCATATCCGTGCCTTCGCTGCAGTTCTCCTCCGGGGACATGTCCCGTGTAGTTGTGGCTGCGTTACGAACGCGGGCGTCATAATCCGATATTGATCTATTTGGTGAGCTCAGAGTTTCCTGCATTGTTCGTGTTTTAACGAAAGACACGCTGTCCCCTGCAGGCAGGACGGAGGGCTGCTCTGACCTCTGGGGAACTCTGGGGAACACTGGCCTGACGAGGGCACAGCGGGGCAGGGCGCTGGGGTCCCAGTGCAGTGTGTGCAGCTTGGGCTCCGGAGGTTCCAGAAGGGCTGGACACACAGGCCGTGCACACAGGACTGCAACCCTGAGCAACTGACCAGAGACGCAGGGTCCACGAGGACAAAGACGGTCCCACTACAGCTGCCGAGGACACGGGGGGATGCGAGCCGGGTGTCTGGCGGCCCAGGGCAGGGGAGGGGCAGCAGGGAGAGGTGGGCAAGGGAGAGCGCGGTCACCAGGGACCCCAGAGGTGAGGTCACACCCAGGTCAGGGCCACACTAAGAACTAGAACCACAGTTTTCAAATTCACTTTTAGGGCTTGAATCTTTTTCAAAAACCTTTTTATGTAGAAACTCTATATAAAGCAGAAAAGGAGCTGGAGTTTCAAAGCATGAGTTGATTCCAGGGGTTCTCGAAGTAACTTATGACCCGGCCTGCTCAGCCTAGGGGCTGGGGGGCACTGTGAGTACGGTGTCGGTGTGGGCGTGGTGCGTGCCCCCCAACGTCAGCTGCTTCCACCTGTCAGACACGGCTCTGTTTTCCACGGAGATGCTCTCCTCCAACAAACGGGAGCATAGTCTGTCTCCAACACCCCTCCACTGACGGGAACGCCAGGCTTCATGCACCAGGACCTGGTTCTTGGCGCCGCCCAGCCTCAGCGGGCCCTGGAGAGCTCACACCACTTCCTCCCTTGGGGGCACCTGGCTCCCGCCCTGGGCTGCGAGAGGAGGATGTGTCCCAGCCTCACCTGTGCTGGCCGGGGCCAGGGTGGCAGGTGGCTCTGCGCACAGACACACCTGGAGAATCCAGTCCCTGGGCCCTCATGGGGACTCAGCCCCCACCCGACACAAGCGGCATCTGTCCTGACCCTGAGGGCCCAGCACCAAGGACTCCTGGCCGGGTGTCCATCCTGGGAGGAAGGCTCCAGGGGAGGCCCAGGGCACAGAGGGGAGACGCAGAGAATCCGAACATGGCCACCAGTGACCGTGGGCTGGCTGTGGGCCTGGGTGAGTCCCTGACCATCGGGGACCCTGCGCTGTTGACGTGGTACTAGGGTGTTAGACATGAGGCCAGCGTGCCTGCCACTGAGTGGACATGGAAGTGATCGGTGGGTGCATGGCAGCCTGACCTATGCTGACCCTTGGCCGCCCCAGTCCCACCATTAGCCTCAGTGCTGTCTGGCACTGCCCGTGGCGGAACTGGGGGTGCCAGGAGGTCTTAGGTGGGGGCCATGCTGGGGCCTCCACCTCCATGGACAGGGCTCCCAAGGAAGCAAAGCCCTCAGTCCTTGGTCAGAGCCAGAAAGGCCAGTCTCATGACACGAATGGAAACTGAGGTGGAAACGAGGCTGCCCCGGGGCTGCACATGTGGGTGTGGACTTCCACCATCTGGATGCACCAGGCGTGCACGCAGCCTCCCCTCTGCTCCCAGCAGGCACCCCCAGGCACCCTGGACCTGCCCACTGCCTTCAATAGGCTCAGCCCCAGGGCGGCTGACGCCTCTGCAGGAGCCCCTCCAGGGGCACCAGAAGCACCAACGGGCTGCTAACCAAGCCGCCAATGGCCAACTCCCGGGGCACCTGCTCCTGGCTCTACTTGGGGAGTGGAGTGCAGGATGGCATGGGGCTGTCCAGCCAAGGGTCATGCCCTCAGGGAGCCAGCACGTATGTGTGTGGATGCGAGGCAGTCCGAGCCCAGGGGGAACTTTCTGGGAGCCTCGTGACGCAGCAAGTGGGGCTGCATTCTGTGTCCTTAGAGGCACACTTTCCAAAGACAAATCAACGTCCTTCTGTGGTCTCGTTAGTCAAAGAGGACTATTATTTTTGAAAGTACTTAATACAAATCGTAGCATAAACCGAATAACTATGTAAACATTTTTGGAAATCAAAATATTCAGTATTAAGACAGACACAGTGCCAAATCAGTGGGATTAAGTGAAGACCCCGCAGGGCTCGATCTGATTTTCCCCAGTGGCACATGGCTCCCTAGTTACAAGGGAAGACCATGGACAGCCGGAAGCCTGGTTATGCAGCGTTGGGTATGATGCTGAGGGCCACCCCCCCGAGAAGAGCCGGATGGTGGGCAGCCTGCTTGGAAGACGGTGACCCGAGCGTGTGTCCCAGCCTCAGGCAGGAGGATCGCGGGCTCATCACCCGGGAGAAAACACCACGCCTGGGATCAGGCCTGGGGTGGGGGGGGGCCAGGCCACACACAGGGCAGGGGTGGGGGTGGTTAGGCCGGCCTCTGCGGCATCGCGACGCACCTCCCCCTTCCCCCCGGTTTTGCTGCTCTTCTTAGACACGCATTTTGGGTCCATAACATTCCGGAAAATCTCCAGGTTTCCAGAGTGTGAGTGCCACTTCCTGGCAGTCGTGGGCAGACCAGCTGCCCTGGTCTCTGGTCAACTGTCCAGAAGCTTCTGGGTTCTCTGCTTGGAGCGCACATGCGGTGCCTGCGAGCCTGAGCCAACACCACCAAGAGCAGGGGCGCATGCTGCGGGCAGATGTGGATGGGCCCCGTGGGGCCTGTGGAGGGAGCGGCACAGAGAGACGGGTCAAGGGTCAAGGCTGAGCGGTGGCAAGGCCTTCGGTGGTAACCATAGCCACCGCAGGAACGGGGCTGCATGGCCGCAGAGCTGCAGACACAGACCACCTGGCTTATCCGTCACAGAAGTCTGCCAGGCCCTGGCCTAGAAGGTTCCTGTGGGGCCGCACGTCCCCCGCGGAGGCCACACAGGCAGCCCCAGGCTGTGTGATGCGTACACATACGGGGCTGTTTGCCTGGCACGCGGACCCCACGGCAATGCTTGTGTTCTCTGCAGAGACTTTACTGAATTTTGCTGGGAGACCTGCTGCCTGGGGGATACTGGTGGGCACTGTGGGGCCCGCATGGCGCCAGCGCGGGTGTGGCGGTAGGGACGGAGCAGAGGTCCATCTGAAAGCCAGCCCGGGGCTGAGCAGGTCTCGCCCTGAGACCTCACCTCTGTCGGCCCCAGCTCAGTTCCCTCTGACGTAGGGTTCTAGTTTAAAGAGGATGCCGGCTCACTGGTGCCTGGCCTTGGGGCACCCTGGTCGCCCGGGTAGAACTGCTTGACGAGGTCCCTCTTGTTGATCTTCCCCATCTGGTTCCGCGGGATCTCCTCCACCAGCAGGAACTCCGAGGGCACAGCATACGGGGCCAGGACGCCCCTGCGGAGACAAGCAGGGTCTGAATGGCAGGAACTTGGGGCCTGACAGCCCCCTCCCCATGGGACAGGCAGCCTGGTCCCCCAGGGCCCCGAAGCCCAACCATATCTGGTGCCTGCCCCGGGAGGAAGTCTCCGCTGTGACTGCTAACCCAGAGAGGCCACGGCCCATGTTCCAGGCCCACCTGTGGGCAGAGAACAAACCCTCCTCAGGCCAGGCCTCCCAGAGCCGGGAAGAGCAGGTCCCACTCTCGGCTGGCTGTCACGACAGCAGGCCACAGCCAGACAGGTGGAGCAGGAAGGTGGGTAGGGCCAGGGGACCCTTGCAGAGCCCTGGGCGCAGCAGCCACGGCCACGTGGGCTGGGGCCGCGCTCTGGGCAGAGCCCTGTGATAAGCAGTGGGAGGGGCTGGTCTGTGGGTCCGAGAGCTGCCCTGTGTCCTGCACTCCCACGAGGGGCCCCCCATTAGATGGTGCGTTCTCCTGTGAGGGGCCACGTGGATGGGTCCTGCCACCTGCAGGCTCTACTCAGAAACTCCTCCTTGGGCGGCAGGCACTGGGTCTCTCCTGAGGTCCCGTCCAAGCCACCTGCCCCTTGCCCTCCGATAGCCGCACACGGGGCCACATCCCCTTTGTAAGGAGAGCACAGCATGCCGCCAGGCAGGGCTGTGCCCAGGGCCAGGAGGCTGTGTGTGGCTCTCTGGGCTGCAAGCTGTGGGGGCAAGCTCAGCCACTGGGGAGGTATCGTGGTGAGCTCATGACACCCCCCCTGAACGCACCGTCACCTTGGGGTGGCTCGTGCTGAAAGCAGCCAGCCGCAGGCCAGCACAGGGGGGCTGGGGGGTGCAGGTGAAGGCTTGTGAGGGGAGAGGGTGACCCCACCTACGGTCCTGGCAGCTGTGAGACGGCCGGCAGCCCACAAGGGTAGGACTGGGCTGGGCTTTGCTGGAACAAGCCACCAGGACTGTGCGAGGGTATCTGGCGGCATGGTGGGTCGGCGAGCCCCTGAGGCCCGATCAAGGAACACACCCCTCTGAGCACCCCAGCCCCATGTCTCAGGGGTGTGTGGGTGGCTCTCCCCATGCCTGCTTCCCCTGAGGCCAGTCAGCAGTAAGCCGGTGCCAGGGCCTAGAGAGGGAGGCCCGAGGCACCAGCCGCTCCCGGTGTGGGCGGCCAGGTGAGCAGGCCGTGGAGCAACATGGTTGCCCATCATCTGGAGAAAGCACCTCAAGAATGAAGGCCAAGTTCAAGGCATTTTCAGACAGAGACGCTGATGTCCCCACGGGAGCAGACCGGCAGCAGAGATGAGCGGGAGGCTGCTGAGGACCCCGCGCCCGGGGGCAGGCTGGGACACGCGTCGTCTCCTGGGGACCCTCTTGGAGAGACGACGCTTGGACAGAAATACAGTGGACCCTTGAACAACACCGGTTTGAGTCGCATGAATCCACTTATATGTGGATTTTTGGATAAATACGGCAGAGGACTGAAAATGTGTTTGGTCTCCCTTGTGATTTTCTTCCCATTTTCTTTTCTGCAGCTTACCTCGCCGCACAAGAACACGAGACACGGTACGCACGACATACAAACTACGTTTGATCGACTGTTCTCGGTGAGCAGCTGAGTCTGCTCAAGGGTCAGCCGTGCTAAGAGCGTGGCACGCGTGCAGCGAGAACAGTAGAGGGGTGTCGCCTGGGCCCGGGCGGGGGTGCAAATGGCGGTACGTGAGAGCCGGGTGTTATGACCCCTAACTTAGCAGCCACTTTTGAAAAAAGGAACAAAAGCCATAGAAGTTAGAAACGACGTAGAAGTGTTAGGAAGGACAGCTGGGGGCCCCGGCATTTCCGAGAACAGCAGGCCGTGGACGCAGGGGCCTGACAACTCTGCCCAGGATGTGTTTGCACAGCGGACCCCATTCGTTTAGACTCGCCTCAAGGCCAAGTTAGCTGTTTGTGAAAAAGCAGGCTTCCAGGGAAACGTGGACCACGGAGGAGATGTCCTCCCGGAAGAAGGCGTGGCAGGCACAAAGTGAGGATGGGACATTAAGCCAAAGCCCACCACTCCTCCGTGGTCTCATCAAACATCAATTGTGGGTCAAGACCACGGATCCTGGATTCTTCCCTGGTGTGTAAATCCCACGTCCCTTTCCAACTTGGCATCTGGGGGATAGAAGGGTAGTGGGTGGGCCGTGTCCCGGGTCCTACAAATGTGGCGCTGTTGCCCTGCTCCAGGCCACGCTCACCCCCTCAAGGGGACACTGGCTCTGGCCCAAGGAGCACAAACTGAGGGAGGAATCTTGAGAAAGGAAAACCACGGGAGCGCAGAGGTGACAAGGAGGGAGAGCACCTTTCCTAAGAGCCATGTCCGCAGAGGCAGAGTGAGGATCCAGAGTCTGACCTGGCCTCCGTGGGCTGTGTGGCCTCAGCATCCCCGCCCAGTGATGGCCCAGCTTGAGGACACAGAGGCCTGGATGCTGGCCTCACTGTGGGACAGTCCTGGAGACGGCGGGTCGGCCGCCTGCCCTGACCTCCCAGGGGTGTCCCCCACCCCCACCCCAAGCACAGAGCCCCCTCCTCAGGTCTTCCTGCGGCCTCGGTCACAAGCCTGACAGGTGCGTATGGGGCTCCTGAGAGTGGACCCTGACTCTCTCGGGCGGAGAGCTCAGCACAGGGTGTGTGGTGAGCCGCAACAGCGACTGGAATCTTCTTTGTTGAACACCCTGCTCCAAGTGTGATTCTGCAAATCCAGGGGAAGCTAATCGCCCAGCTGTGCTACCCCTTCATGAAATGAGGGGCTCCTGCTATTGTGAAATCATGTTGGACGAGCCAAAAATATCTTTAGCACTGAGGAGGGAGGCAAGTCGGGAAGGAAGGGGGTGCAGGGAGAAGGCAGAGGAAGGAGAAACTTCTCAGATTGGAAATAAAGAATTTGGGGGACATTACTAACAGCTTCCTTTCTGAGCTCGGGGCTGTGGCCATGCTGTCTGTCCCCTGGCCTCTGGCGTGACTGACCGTGGGGCACCACAGGCACAGGGAAGGGGGCCTGTGAGGGTCGGCACACAGAGAAAGCCCTGGGGCCGTGGCATGTGGGCAAAGAGGCTCTGGGGACGGTCTAGGGTAAGGCGAAGGTGAGTGCACGGGGACGCATGGTGTGGCGACGGGGCTGCGGTGTGGGCACAGGCGAGGGGAGCACTGTGGCCCCAGCTCCCATTGGCTGCATTCAGCACAGGGTGGGTGGGTGACGGAGCAGGACGGGAGGTTCTCTGCCTTTGGATTCCTTCTGAAGCCGGGGGAGGACCCTGCACCCTGTGCCCTGGCTGGGGCTCCCACCCCATGGTTCCAGCTCTCTGTCTCCCCGGTGACCATTACAAAGCTTCCCTGCGGCCCTTTGTGTGTTGGGGGCAGCCTTGGGAATGTAATGTGTCACCTGACCTTCCAGGCACCCCCCCAACCCTGAGATGGATGGTGGCAAGACCCGAGACCCTGCCTGCTTCCCCCGACCCCAGGACAGTCCACCCCCACCTGTCCCTTCCTCCAGCCCCACGAATTCCCCTGCCTGCCCCTACCTTGCCCACTCTTTGAGCTCCCTGTGGGACAGCGAGTGTCCCTCTTGAAGGGTCACCACTGCAGTGAGCCGCTGGCCCCACGTCATGTCTGGAACTCCAATCACAGCCACATCTGTGGACAGAAGGAATGCTGTGCTGACTGCTGCAGGCTGGGGACGCACCCAGAGGGGAGCATGGGGTCAGCATGGCTGGTCCTCCCTGGGATGGGGCGAGGCCCGGTCCTCACGTGTCTCCCGGCTGGAGCTCAGGGTGGGGGCTGGCTTTCCTGCGTCTCTGCCCTCCCTGCACTGCTCCAGGGCTGGGGACAACCAGTGAGCCGCGTGGGGGGTTCTCTGCCATCCCCAGGGTCCTCAGCCTGTGACGTGAGGTCAGGGGCAGGTCTGGGCGAGGTCCACACTTCCTGGACTAGCAACCACCGGTGGCCACTCTGGCACAACCAGGATGCTCAGCCCACGGCCACCGCGAGCAAGCCGGTGCTGCTGAGCCAACCAGCAGCAGCCCGGTCAGGCTGGGACCCCAGCCACGATACAGAGATGGGGGGTGCGCAGATGGCAGGCAGAGGGGCCCCTACTGTGTGTGCCCCAAGGGTGGGTCACCTGGTCTGGTTCTGTCTATAGTCAAACACAGACGGAAGCACATCTGGAATGTTGCCAGGATGGTCAGGTCTGGACCCTGCTCACTGTTGGAGGCCCTGCCATGGGCCAGGGGGCCACGTACCCGTGATGCTGGGGTGTGCCAGCAGCATCCGCTCTACCTCCAGGGCGCTGACCTTGTAGCCACCACTCTTGATGATGTCCACAGACGTGCGGCCCCGGATCCAGTAGCTGCCGTCCTTAAACACAGCCGTATCGCCTGAGGAAAGGGACTCTGGTCAGGACACGTGCCGGGGCCCAGCAAGTTTCGAGGGGCACCCGCGTGGTGAGCAGTGCCCCCACCGTCACATGCTGGGTGCCTGTGTCTGGGGGCATCGATACCCCCACACGGTGACCCGTGCTGGGACTGGGGTGCACGTGGGCCGTTTCAGGACAAGGTGGCAAGCATGAAGCTCAACGGCTGTGACTTCAGCCTGTGGTCCGACCCCAGACGGCCCTGTGCAGACAGCAGCATCCCACAATGGCCGATGGGGGCCACCCGTGAAGACCAGGGTCAGAGGCAGGACGGACGGTGTGGTCACCACCCAGCTCAGCCCCCTCCCGCTCTTTCTCAGGCTCCTGTAATCAGAACAAGAATCAGCCGCCTCCTGCCATTCCACCATGGGGTCCCAGTCACAGCAGGGTCTTAGTGGAGAGGACATCACGGCATCCCCCCGTCATTTGTGGGGTCTCCCGTGCTGCAAGGCAGTCACACGGAGTTTCTGAAGGAGGAGAAAGCCCTTCCTGCCCCTCCACGTCAACTGCGTGGTTTCCTGTCACGCTTCCCCGCGTGGCAGTCCCCCCAGAGGCCCACCTGGTCCCCTCTTGGGCCACGCTGGGCAATGGGATGCTCACCAGGCATCCTAGCATGAGCAGGTGGTGGGGTGGGGGACAGCGAGGGCCAGCCCAGAACAGGGAGGATGCAGGGGAGGCGGGCCTGAGAGTGTGTGTGCATATGCATGTGCGTGGACATGCATGTGGACATGTGCGTGTGTGGACATGCACATGTGTGGACGTACATGCGTGTGGACATGCACATGTGTGGACATGCGTGTGTGTGGACATGCGTGTGGACATGTGCATGTGTGGACTGTGTGTGGACATACATGCATGTGGACATGCGTGTGTGTGGACATGTGCGTGTGTGGACGTACATGCGTGTGGACGCGTGTGTGGACATGCGCAGATGTACATGCGTGTGGACATGCGCATGTGTGGACGTGTGTGTGGACATGCGCATGTGTGGATGTATGTGGATGCACATGCGTGTGGACATGTGTGGATGTACATGCATGTGGACGTGTGTGGATTTACATGTGTGTGGACATGCGCATGTGTGGACGTGTGTGGATGTACATGTGTGTGGACATGTACATGTGTGGACATGCGTGTGGACATGTGCACGTGTGGATGTACATGCATGTGGACATGCACATGTGTGGACGTGTGTGTGGACGTACACACGTGTGGACATGTGTTCTCCCACAATGCACGCACGTGTGAGCGTGTGCCTGTGGGGACGCCCCCATCCGGCCCTCTGAGAACAGCGCTGGTGCTGCCCCGCCTATGCTCACACACCCGAGCCCCATGCTGGGTCATTAGCTGGAATAAATCATCAATGTTTCATTACAAGTCACGCCACCCATGCAGCAAGGCACCACCCATCATCTGCCGCAGCCAGGGCGTGACCCAGTCTATAAACGAGACAGATGGCTGTGCGTGGATGGGTGGTCGGCTTACTTATGGCGGCGTGGGAGGGCGAGGCTCCGAGAGGACAGGCCACGAGTGTGGCAGGTTCTCTCCCACTGACAGGAAGCAGAGGAAGCAGAAGTTTTGCAAGTGCATCCTTGGAAAGGGCATCGTGGCCCCAGGATGGCCTGCAGGGTGGCAGCTGGCTGGGGGGAAGTGGTGCAGGTGTGCAGGAGCAGGAGGGGCCGCAGGGAGGCCTGGGGTGGACGAAGTCTGCCCTGGGTCCCACGAGGCCCCCTGTGCTCCTCATTCCTGGGGCGTAGCCGCCGCTCTGGCTGCGTCCCCTCCCCACTGGATGGCTGCGTGTTCTCCGGAGAGCGGTTCCTTAAAGGCACCGAGGGGCCCAGTCTAAGCTGTCACTGCCTCCTGCTGCTGGACGGACACTGCTCTAGCCCCGGGCCCTCTGGTGCCTTCCTGGACCTGCTCCCACCACCTCTACTCGCCCAGAGACCCAGCAGAGCGAGGGACCCTGCCCTGGGCTCAGGTTCCTGTCCCTGGTCCTGCCGGATATGCCCTGCACTGCCCAGACCATGGCTGCTGAGGCTGGGGGACGTCTCCCGGACGCGGCCCCTGCCCCCTGGGCTGCTCTTCTGGTCCTGCCCTTAGCACCAGGAAGGGAGGCAGCAGGCTCTGGCTCACGTCCCTGGATGGGGGAGCACCACGTCTGCTGACTGTGAAGGGGACTGGGATGGAACTGCCCTGCTCTCTGGGGACCCCTTCCCATGCTGCCTGGAGACCCTCAGATGCCAGCCGCCTCAGTTCTGAATGCAGGACTACGGGGGCCAGGGAGTGCAGGCTGATCAGGGGACGCACTCAGAACTGAGGCCCAGTCCCAGAAACAAGGGTCCTGAACACCCCTTCCAGGCCTTTCTGCTCCGTTTCCTTGGGTATTGGCTGATACAGACGCTGAATCCCAGCACAGAGATGGTGGCTGGAGGCCAGCGCTGTCCCCAAACTCCCATGAGTGTCTAACCCATGGGCAGCCCACCTCTGAAGGGCAGGACGTGCCCAGTGCCGGGATGGGGCTCAGAAAGAGGGGTCCTGGAGGGCGAGGGTGGAAGCCGTGTACAGAGCCCTGCCCAACATCCACGTGTGACAGCGCTGCCTGCCTGCCATGCTCCTGGGTGGGACAGAGCCCTGAGCACAGCATGGCGGGAATGGCGTGGGAGGCCACGCGGCTCCCTCAGCTTCCCCTGCGCCTCCGTGCACCTGAATCGGTAGCTCCCAGGAAGGCGAGTTGAACAGACAGCAAGCGCCCAAACCCCAAAGACCCTGGAGCAGGCGACTTTAAGGTTTTGGATAAATTGAACAAAGTGGGGGCGGGGACAGATGCGCTGCGGCATCTGAGGAGCTGTGGGCAGTCCTGCAGACTCCGTGCAGCCCTGTGGCGCCTGCCATCCGCAGCGGGAAGAAACCCTCATGTGCCTCCCAGACGCAGCTGGGGGACAGACGGGGACAACACTGACCTGCCGCACATGCTCATGCTCAGTGTAGGCGGAGATACTCCTTGACAAGCACACCCCCTCCTGTGCTCCCGCGGGGCCCGGAGCCTTCCCTCTGGTGCCACGTGACACATGTCAGGCCCAGCCTCACCTTGGACACCAAGCTGCCTGTTCTGTGGCCAACGTCCGGCCCTGCCTCTGGGGAGATGCGTGCTGAGCCTGTTTTGGGGCAGTGACATCCAGCACGGGCTCGCCCACGCCACGGGGCTGCATCCCCTTCCGTGCTTCCCCAAATGTCTGCCTCATGCGGGGTCTGGTGTGGAGCGTGGGGGCCTGGCCAGGGGACGTGGAGGCCAAGGGAATCATGCTGAGGGAAGAAGGTCAATCCCCAAAGGTTACACTTGTCAGGTCTGTCTCTGTGCCACTCTCTGAACGACAAGCAGTGTGCTGGGGGGGCGAGGGCAACATATGTGGGGCCGCAAAGCAGCACAGACCTACATGTGTGCTGAGGATGGTGAGCAGAGTCCACACACAGGTGCACATACGTGTGTAGGGCTGGGGGGCCCTGGACAAGCCCAGGGACGGGCTCTGGTGTTGTGCTGGTGACCAGGACATGGACACTGGGGAACGGTGTGAAGGTGCAAGGGGCCACCCTACTCGCCATCTGCAACTTCCTGCAAATCTCTACCTATTGCAAAGAAAGCGTTTTAAGAAACCGCTGTTTGGTTTGTGGAGAAGTCCTGCCTTCCCTGGGGGCTCACCCCCAAGTTGTCACTCCAGTGTCTGCAACACACTGACTAAACAATAATTTCAGAAAAGAATCTGTGTTAACTAAACTCACGACCAAAAGCAAGCACAAGAAACTGCCCACCACGATGTTAATGCGCCCAATAAGGTTGTCTGTCCCTCAGGTGTCAGCACCCCGCCCCTCCTGGAAAACACCTGCCCTGCTCTCCCGGGGGTGCACGGGTGGTGCAGGGTGGCAGATGAGAACCCAGCCCCCCACTCTGCTCTTCGCACATGTTGGGCACCATCAGGCCCCCTGAGCCTGGCACGGGCTGTTCTGGCATCGCCCCAAGACAGGCCTGGGGGGCTGGGGCGGGTAGGGGGCAGCTCATGGTGGGTCGACTCCCCCCAGCCATGCGGCAGCTCGGCCTCCCACGTGTCCTTCCTGCTCTCAGCCCCCAGGTGTCAGCCAGGCTCCGGAGCGGAGAGAATCAGCCGGACAGCTCACAGCATCACAGGATGCAGTGTCCCAGCGCCAGCACTAGGACGGACGTCAAAGTCAGGGCACCCAAGGCACTCGACTTGTCCGATATGGACTCTGGGATGGAGAAGATTCTCTAGGACTCCAAAGAGGGGAAAGGTCGTACGGTGCCAGGAAGGACGTGGCTGCAGCTGGTACCAAGCGTGGAAGCTAGAAACCGATAAAGACCATTTCTAACCCTGAACTCTACCTCGCCTGACCGAGCGAAGACACTGTCACACACCCACTCCCCAAAATGCACACCCCACACCTCTACTGTCAGGAGGCTCCTGGGGAATGCAGCCCCTAGACTGTGGAGGAGAAAGGAAGGAGGAAGCTTCAGGATGGGACTGGTGGGGCGGCGGGCCCGGGGGTCTCCCCCAAGCAGGCAGGGTGGCACCGGGGTGCCTCACGCAGGGAACTGAGAGCACAGAAGGACCACGGTCCCCATGAGGCTACGTTACGGCCCCACGGTGCAGACACTGGGGGGACAGGTGTGGCGAGCAGCCTCAGAGCCCAGGTGCAAATGGCCACTGGTCAGACCCACGGGTCTTCCAGCCATGCCCACATCACTCTGATAAAAACTGAAAACTGACACACTCTCCTCTGCCCAGGGGTCTGGGACCGACATGGGAACAGCGCGGGGACCCCAGGAGCCAGCCTGAATGCAGCTGGAGCTCGACATCCAACAGAGGGAACGTGGCCTCATGTCGCCACTGGGTCACCGCGTCACTGCCCACGAAACAGGGTCCACGACAAGCTTTATGAATGCAAAGCCTGACAAGGGGCAGGAGAGACCCAGGAGCGCAACCCCGCGAGCCCTGGGAAAGAACTTTGAAGCAAGATAAAAAAACAAGACATGACACATCCAAACCTTCTGTGCACAGAAGGGGCCGCCAGTACCGGGGCCTGGCCAGTTGCAGACTACATGGCCGGTCCTGCCAAGTGTGCCCGGAGGGGCCCTGCTGCCTGGCACAGCCTTCATGGTGACCCTGCCTCCCGGGTCAGCGGGTGCACAGGTCGGTGACAGCTGTCCCCTCCGCGCACCCACACCCGCTAACACGCAGCGCGCGGCCTAGTTCCTAACTGTGACTTACTGGCCAAGACGGAAGATCTCCTTGTTGGAGCAGGAAAGCAGAACCCCAACTGCAGCGAGGCAGGAAGTGAGCAGACACGGCCTGAGCGCCGCTGAAGCCTTCTCCATCGGAGGCGTGAAACGTTAGTGCGTCGTGCCGTGTCGCTGAGAGCGATGATGCTCACCGAGGGAGCACCAGAGGCCAGGCATCCAAGAAAGGAAGGAGCCCTCCCACAGGGGACAGCGGCCGGCGGCTGTGAGAACCGCGCACGCGCAAGACGCGTCATCAGTTCATGTCACCGCTCTCCAGAACACAGTTTCTAAGGGCCTCCCAACAGCCGCTGCTGGACACCTGTGGACACGGGCAGTGCCCCTTACGGCCGGACGCGGAGTCCCCGCCTCGCACTTTATAAATAACGCTGCGGCAGACGTCTGTGCGCCCGGCTCTGCCTGCCTCTCGTCATTCCCTTTGACCAGGTTCCCGGAAACACTCCTGACCCACAGTCCCACCTGCAGGGGAAAGTAGCTGCCTCATGGCAGCAAGGCCCAACTTGGTCACAATCTTCCAAATTTGGCGACAGGAGTCCACCTCTGTCTGTGTTTCTCTCTCACCGTGAGGAAGAGACTGTATCTTACGTGTTTTTATGGCCAGCTTCTCTGCTCTCCTGGGATCTGCCCATCACCAGGGCTGCCCGGGCCCCGTGAGCACGCCTCTGGGGGCACAGCTCTGGGGAGCATCCCCATGTGGGCGCCGATGCCCGCCAGGGCCCCCTCTGTCGCCCTGCTGTAATGTCTGTCTCTGGGAGTAACGTCACGTGCTTGCCCTGGAGGAAGGCAAGAACCCGCCGACGCTCTGGTGGATTTTCCCAGGGTCCTTGCTTCCCGTCTCCTAAGTACGCTCGACCAGCGCACTGATGCCGAATTAGCGCGCTGTTTACCAGGTCCACGTCGTGACACTAAACAGTGCACGATGAAGGATTTTTAGAGCAAGTCAGAGGCCGTTCGTGTCCTTACGCTCAGTCAGCAGCATCTGAGCTGAGTGGCAGGCATCAAAGGAACCGTAAGGTCTGCTCAGCTCGGTCCCCATGTCCGTCCGTGTCCCCAGCTCCGTGTCCTCACCTCCATCCCATGTCAGCTCCGTGTCGTCTCCATTCCATGTTCACCCTCGTGTCCTCACCTCTGTCCCGTGTCCTCACCTCCATGTCCTCTGTCTTCTGCTCGGACAGCAAGGTCAACAGAAAGGCCCGAGGGCGCCTGGCTCCTGGAATCACCTGTCCCCCTGCCCTGGGCTAGTGCCGGTGCCCGTGCGCATGGCGAACAGCTTCTCTCTGGTTGTGTTGGTGCTCAAGTAAGAGCTGGGAGGAGGGTCACTGTGGCTGTTGGCAGTTTCTGGGGGGAGATGCTGGGTCTCCTTTGTAGCAGCCGCGACCCCTGGGGGGCTGGTAAGGAGCTCCTTGCACATCTGGGGAAGGAGGACAGGGCAAGGCAGGGAGGGCAGGAACAGCTGGTGACCTCTGTCCTCTCACCCGGGCGTGGACCTGGCCCTTCCCCGAGGCCCACGAGCAGCAGCTCTCCAGCTCCCACCAGAACCCATGGCAGGAGGGGCTGGCCAGGGAAAGGGTTAAGTTTAATTTACCCTGATTTCTATTTAATATCATGCTCTCCCTGCAGGAGCCGGCAGCTGCGAGCTGATTGCGCCCGCTCATTATGCAGCCTGTATCGCTAATGGCCTGTGACAAAGGCACACGGCTCCCAGGCCTCACCCCCGAGAGCCAATTAAACACACACACTCCCTTCCTGTTTGCAGCGCATTACAATGAAATTAAACTGAATTTCAAAATCATTTTCTCCTAAAGACATCTCTTTACAATAATTAATGCATGCTATTCCTTTTCAACTCAAATATTCATCAGCAGCGTGACTGAGTGTTTTAACGCTGACTGCCCCACACTTTCCTTTGCTGCCGCCCAGCAAATCCACAGGGCTTGGGTTCCTGTGCTTTTAAAGAAAAAAAAAACCCTAGAGCTTTTATCTGAATTTAAAAATAAAAGAACCTGGCCACAAAGCAAGTCAGGTTTCCACACAGGGATCATTCAGAGGCCTGCAGGAGGGACGTACAAACCTGCACCTGAGGGACAATGACGGACAGGGGCCTGCTGCTGTCACACCAGCTCGTGGGAACACCGTGCTCATGAGGGAAGCCAGGCGTGTTAACATGCTGACCGCACCCTCGCACGGAGACAGGGCACCCCGAAACAGGTGACCAGGGCTCCTGGGGCCCGACCACACGGAGCCCTCTGCTCCCATCAGGGTTCCCGAGGTCCGGCCTCGCTCTGAAGGCTGACAGATGTCCACGCTGCACACCCTTCCTAACCACCTGCACACCGGCTTCCTGTGCCCGGCATGGAGGTTCAGGGGAGGCTGGATACCCCCCTGTAGCTGCCAGGACGCGTACTTCACAGGCACAGAGCAGAGAACCACAGACAGCTGCAGGACCACAGGGTGGACGTGAGACTGGCCGGGACCAGCAAGTCTGGACCCAGCGCCACCTGGCAGTGCGACAGGAAGGGAGCCCCTTGACAACCCCCACCAGGAAGACCCTCCATCTGCCCCCTTCACACCCAACCCTCACCTGGCAGGCCTACACAGCACCCCGAGACTGCCGGGCCCATGCGGGTCCCTGCCGTCACTCGGTGACCTCAGGTCTGTGACAGCAGCAGATGAGAGTGGACATGCGATCCCACCCCTGAATCCATGCTGGTCTGCGGTCAGCGAGGTGCTCATGCGACTGCTGTGTGGCCATGAGACTAGGGACCACAGCCACCAGCTTTCTCCTAAGAGATGCGCGGCAGCCCCATGGCAGCCCACTCCACCTGCTTGCAGCCTTTCTCCTCAGCTCTGCACCCCACAGGACAGGGAATGAGGCCAGCTTCTGGCTCTGGGGCTGCATGTGGGGAGATGTGAAAGCAGGCCTTCCTTTTTAGAAAATATTGTCTTAAGATTACTATGAAATGATGCATTGTCAGCAACGAAGTTTTACAAGTACAGACGGGCAAAAAGAAAAGGACCACCTACATGCCAGGAGCTCATTCTCAATGAGCTGCAAATCTAATATTCATAATGTCTGCCGTAAAGTCCACATTTCGGGACCGCTGGGGCCAAGGAGGGGAGACGGGGCATCCTGAGCAGCTCTGGGTCCTGCTGGGAGGGCGCCACCTGCACACCAAGCACAGCGCCCCAGGCGTAGGGTGGAGAATAATGTAAAATGACCCAAAAGAAACAGGAACCATGTCCTACCAGAACGACTTGGATCCTGGGGGTGCGGGGGTTGGGCAAGAAGATTTATAAAGCAGGGGGCTCGGGATAGGTGGGAGGGAGGGGTGGGGAGGCTCTCCGACATCCAGGCCCTGCTGCTGCCTTCCTTCTAGAGGTTGGTGGGGTCCTGGGGGTAGGGTGAGGATACAGCCTTGAAGACGGGAGACACGGAGTGCACCCCACCCCATCTCTGCCCTGGACAGAAGATTCTGGGGTGTCCCGGCCGCCCCCACCGGCCCCCTCCTACCTGTCTTGAACCAGCCATCCCAGGTGAAGGCATGCTTCGTTTCTTCTGGTTTGTCCCAGTATTCTCGGAACACAGATGGCCCCCTGACCAAGAGCTCCCCTTCCTTCTCCTTGAACCCTGGGGTCACCTGTAGCATGGGCGAGAGCACACACCTCTCAGGATGGGGACTCCACCTGCCTTCCTTGTGACCCCCCCCAACGACCACACCCTCTTCTGAAATTAGACACTTTGTTGGAAATGACTGAAAAATGCATCTTTCAGCGCTGGAACTCAATCAGACGGCTAGGAGCGGGGTCGGCCCCATCATGGCGGGGAGCTGTGTGTCCCTGCACTCGTCCTCTAGACTCAACGCCGTGAGTCACTGGCCCACGTCACAGGCGGCGCCTGGCTGGACCCGAGCTGCCCATCCGCTTCTCAAAGCTGTGCTCCTGCTATTGATGAACCTCCATCTTCAAGGTGTTTCCCGCGCAAACACGGCACACGGGAGGCTCGGGGAGGCGTGGGCAGCCACCACACCACATACACGGCTTCAGTGGCTCCCGTGGGGCCTTCTGAAGTCAGTCACTTTGCTTGGTGAGAAGGAGTCTGAGCACGCAGCCAAGCAAGAGAGGATGGCTCTGCAGGCCGGCCCCAGGTGCCTAGAACAGAGCGGCACCCAGATCACGTGGTCCTGGGAAGCAGCGGTTCGCTTCTCTGCTGTGACCGCAGCGCAGGGCAGGAGGGAGGCTGGGTTTTACAAGAAACTGAGTAGGGCTTCAGTGAAGCCAGAAAAAGGAGGCGCAGAGCACCGTGCACGTCAGGAGGCCCTGCGGGAAGCCATCGTCACACAGAGCAAAGGTGACTGAACGGAGGCCAGGGACACTCTGTTCTGACTCATCAGCTCCCACCTGGAACGAACTTATTCTGGGGAAGAACCATCCCCCTCTTTAAAAAAAAAACCAGAGACCCTTCGACAAAGGCTGTCAAACTGTCAGACTCATCTGTCTGAGGCCTGGACATAGCCCACACTTCTAAGGCCGACGCAGCAGGCAGGCGACCAGAGCCTGTCCCGCACCAGCAGCTCTAGGCTCACTTCCCACTTCAGGGCCCGGCCCGGCGCCCGCCATCCAGCCTGTGTGGAAGAGGTCTGTTTGTTTTCCAACCAAACCATACTTTATTTGAACTTCACCCATTTTCCCACTGCTGCCCTTTATCTGATCCACTGCCAAGGTCAGACTGTTCTCACCAGAGATGGGGGACCCACTTCCAAGCATTGGCCCTGAGTCCCAGATCCAGTGAAAGTAATGTTCAGGGGGCACCTGGGTGGCTCAGTCATTAAGCGTCTGCCTTCGGCTCAGGTCATGATCTCATCAGGGTCCTGGGATCGAGCCCCGCATTGGGCTCCCTGCTCAGCGGGGAGCCTGCTTCTCCCTCTGCCTAGCGCTCCCCCTGCTTGTGCGCTCGCACTCTCTCTGACAAATAAATAAATAAAACTCTTAAAAAAAAAAAGAAAGTAACGTTCAGGATAGAGGAAAAGACAAAGACACCTGTAGATAAAGAAAAAACAAGAGAACTTGTGACCAGTAGATCTCATCTAAAAGAATGACCAGAGAATGTTCTTCAGACAGAAGGGAAATGAGGCCAGAGTTAACACAGAAAACTCAGAAATGAAATAAAACCAACAGGAGCGCCTGGGTGGCTCAGTTGTTAAGCATCTGCCTTCAGCTCAGGTCATGACCCAGGGTCCTGGGATCGAGCCCCATATCGGGCTCCTTGCTCAGCGGGGAGCCTGCTTCTCCCTCTCCCACTCCCCCTGCTTGTGTTCCTGCTCTCACTCTCTCACTCTCTGTCAAATAAATAAATAAAATCTTAAAAAAAAAAAAAAAGGAAATAAAACCAACAGAATCAGTAAATACCTGGGTGAATAAAACTGACCATCCTGTTCCTCATGAGTTCTTTCAAATAATTTGGAAGGCAGGAAGCAAACGCTATAACCCCATCTAATGGTGTTTATACCACATGTAGATATTCCACACGACAACTAGGAAGCAAAGGGAGAAGGCAAAGTGACCCCATACAGGGGCAACAAAGATTCTTTGCCTGACCAGCCTGTAGTCAGGCTCCTGAACCTTCTCCTAGGCCATCTGAGCCCCTCCTGTAAAATCCGGTTCTACCAAGAACCCTGCTACATCAGTTTAGCAAGAGTCCCCCACCCTGATACCTGGTCACCCTCAAATCTGCTATCACCTCCAGGTGACATCTGATCACCCCAGCCTGCCCTCAGCAGAGATCCTGTCAGATTGGTTTAGCCAGACTCCCCACTCAGCCCTGATGTGTCCCCTCAGCAAGTATCCATCCCCTGATCCCACCTGTTGCTTGGGAGTGAATGTCCACTGGGCCCACTGCATTCACAGTTGTGAAACCCCGCTGCAGGGGCCCTACAGCTACCCCAATGGTCCTTAATAGAGTCTGCCTCACCACCTTCAATAAGGGTCACTGAATGTTTTCTCTCTGACTGTAGGAATTCTACTTCTTTGGGGAGTGTTAAGTGCTGAGTCTAAGGAGGTCTCAAAAAGTGAAGTATGTATATTGTAATCCCTAAAACTACGAAAAAACTGTATAAGAGCAAATGGTCAAAAACTCAACAGGTAAATGAAAATGTAACACGAAAGAATGAGTCCAAAGAGGCAGTGAAAGGGAAGCTGAGCAACGAGGAACCGAGCAGACAAACCATGAGGAGGTAACAAATGGCAGCAGGTGAGGTTCAAGCATCTCAGTAATCATGTTAAATGTACATACAGCTCTAAACACACCAATTAAGAGATTGCCCGACTGGACTGAAAAATCATACATGATCAACCCTATACCGTCTATAAGAAACTCACTTCCAGGACAGTTACCCAGGTAGGTGAGAAGCAAGGGGATGGGACCATACAGACCACAGAACACCAATCAAAACAAACTATACTGACTACAGCTTTATCAACAGCAGACAAAGTCAATGTAAGAACAAAGAACAAGCAGGGTCACCTGACAACAGAACGGTCAGTTCACCAAGAAGACATAACAACTAGAAATGTGCATTCACCAAGTAAGAGACCTTCAAAATACACCAGCAAAAATCCAAAAGCAGAAACAGACAATTACGGTGGGAGAGTCACCCCCCACCCCACGCTAGAAATGGTCAGATGCTTGGGGACGAGCAGGGCCGGGCACCGCCAACCACCTCTGACCACGTGCACGAGACTGACATCTGTGTTTCAACCTGAACCAGCAGCATGTGCATTCACTGAGAAGGCCATGTTTTGGGACACACACACGCCTTCACAAATTTAAAAGAACTGGAATCCTATCCAGTATGCTTTCTGACTGTAACAGAATTAAACTAAAAATGAGTAACAGGAAGATATCAATCTCCAAACACTTGGAAAATAAACAACACACTTCTAAATAATCCATGAGTCAAAGAAGAAGTCTTAAGGGAAATAGGAAAATCAGAAAATATTTTGAACTGAATGAAAATGAAAACACATCAAAATTGGTGGGGCGGGGTGGGGCGGGGGGCAAGTCCCAATGGTGCTGCAGGGAGATCTGTACCAGTAAATGCGTGAGCTGGGAAAGGGAAAAGTAATAGAGAAAACTCAAGGAATCCAAACACAAGTTCTTTGAAGAAGGCTCAATAAACAGATAAACTTGTAGGAAGAATGACAAAGAAAGACACAAACTGTCCATGAGAGAAATGAGAAGGGCACTACTGCGGATCACAGAGGCACGAAAAGATTAATAAGGGGACACTGTGAGAAACGCTATGTGTGTAAATTCAACAACTTAGATGGAGTAAAATTTTTCCTCAAAAACCACACTCTACCAAAATTCACCCAAGATGCATTAGATGACCTGAATAGTCCTATAACCATTACAAAAAATGAATTAATAGTTAAAATCTTCCAAAAAGGAAGCCTCTAGGCCCAGATGGTTTCACTGGTAAATTCTATTAACATTTTAATAAGTATATAATACCAATTACATGCAGTCTCCTCCAAAAAGCAGAAGAGGAGGGAATAATTCCCAACTCATTTTATGATGCTGGCATTACCCTGATACCCAAACAAGACAAAAAAGCACAACAAAAGGAAACCTCAGATGCAAACATCCTCAGCAAAATGCTAGCAGACCCAATCCAGCATGTATAAAATAAATGATGTACCACAAGCAAGTGGGGTTTGTCCCGGGAATGCGAGGCTGATTCAATACTGATTCAATCAACCAACGTGATCTACTATATCAGCAGCCTAATGAGGAAAAATCAGTTGATGTAAAAAAAGCATTTGCAAATATTTCATCCAGGAGCACCTGGGTAGCTCAGCTGGGGAAGCTTCTGAGTCTTGATTTTGGCTCAGGTTGTGATCTCAGGGTTGTGAGACTGAGCCCCGTGTTGGGCTCTGTGGTCAGCACAGAGTCTGCTTGAGATTCTCTCTCCCTCTCCCTCTGCCCCTCTCCCTCCTCTAAAAAAAAAAAAAGAAAATATTTCATCCGTTCATAATAAGAGCTCTGCATATCATACGTAGAATGGAATCTACAAAAAGCCTGCAGCTAATGTCATATTTAATATTTTCCCATTCAACATCAAACTGGAAATCCTCATCAGGGCAATTAAGGCAAGAAGAAGAAATGAAAACATACAGATTGAAAAGGCGGAAGGAAAACTGCTCCTATTTGGAGAAAACATGATTGTTGATATAAAAAGTCCTAGAAAAGCTACAAAAATACCTTCTAAAACTACAAAGGGAATTTAACAAGACTACTAAAGGATATGAAACCAGTACACTAAAACTGATTGTATTTCTATATGCCAGCAATGAACAGTTCAAAAACAAACAGAAGGGCGCCTGGGTGGCTCAGTTGGTTAAGCGACTGCCTTCGGCTCAGGTCATGATCCTGGAGTCCCGGGATCGAGTCCCGCGTCGGGCTCCCTGCTCAGCGGGGAGTCTGCTTCTCCCTCTGACCCCCTTCCCTCTCGTGCTCTCTCTCATTCTCTCTCTCTCAAATAAATAAATAAAATCTTTAAAAAAAAAAACAAACAAACAGAAAACGCCATACCTACAATAATTGAAAAAGAAGGAAAGGAGGAGGGTGGTGGGAAGGAGG